TAAAAGTTAATTAATTTTTTATGTTAATTATAACCCACAGATCGCTAGATTATAACAAGGCTTTGATACCATGAATGAAACAAGTAAACATGAGAGATAGCACTATAACAAAAAACAAAAAACAAAAAGAAGAGAACAAAAGATGAATCTAAGTGCAAGGCCATGTTCATCTATTCAAAATAGAATAGTATATATTTAAAGAAGGGTGTAGAATTATTTTAGAATAAATATAATGAAAGAAATAATAAATGCAGAAATTTGATCAAAACTTATAATAGAAAAATTACCTTGAAAACAAATCTTATTCATTTGTAATTATAATTAACATATGCAAAGTGACTAATATATTAGGCCATTAAATTGTATCAGAAGGTGACAAATATATAGAGCCCATGGTTTTTTTTCTTTTTTGGTAAAGGGAGTACTTGTTTGTAAACCCGGTTGTTTTACAGCCTATAGGCTTTCGGTGTGATAGTTTTTTTTCTTTATATCCCACTTGGGCTAAAGCCTACTTCATTCAATTTTAGGCCCAATCATATACTTTTGGGCTTTTAAGATGCAAATACCTTAGCCCAGCTTCAATTATCAGGAAGCCCATGAAGGCATGATGTGGAAACACCCAAGCCACACACATTTAAAACAAAAAAAAAAAAAAAGAAAGAAAGAAACGGAGAAAAAAATCCCACCACCAGAGGCTGGTGCCATTGATATGAATTTAGTCTATAATAGGGTCATGGTATCAAATCACGTTGTTAATATGATAATCTTATTGATGAGTTATTTGAAAGCATTTTTTTAACCTATTTTAGTTTAAATTTATGTATTTAGGTTTAATTATACTTTTACTTATTTAACTTTATATAAAATTTTAATTTGATTCCTTAATTTTATAAAGTATATTTTCAGTTCTTTAATTCAAACATCATTAGTTTTAAATAATTAACTTCTATGTACTAAATATCTTACTATTTAATAATTTTTTGTCAATATTTAAAATTTAATGTAAAAGTTTTTTTTTCATGAAACTAATGGTTTTATGATTAAATGACTTAAAAAAATATTTTATAAAATTTAAAAATTAAAATGAAACTTCATATAAAGTTAAAGACTTAAAATATATATTTTAACCTATTTATTTATTTGTCGATAATTTGTTGAAATGTTAAATTCTAACAATTTAAAATTTAATCTAATGGTTGAGAGGAGAGGGTTCTCTCCTTTTCCTTTATTATCCATTTCTCACTTTTTCTTTTATCACTGTTAGATCAAGTTTCAATAATTTTGATTTAATATTTGACAAAATTATCATATAAAAATATATAAAAATAATTTTGAACTATTAAAATATGATCTAAATAATTTAAAACTATAATATTTTATTTATATATTTTATGTAGAATAATACTAATTTAAAATGTTTAAAAGCTTTGATTTAATTATGATAAATATTAAAGGAGGGAAATTCTAATTCCTGGTCAAGACGGTTAGCAGAGAGCATAGAGGCTCTGGTGGGAAAAGAATTGACAGAAACTAAATCCTTTTTTCTATGCTTTTCCAATTAGAATTTTGGCGATACATGTATCTTTACTTCGCTTTTTTCACTTCCCCCCCCCCCCCTATTTTTTCCTTTTTGTGCCGATAATGACTGCATCATCAAGAAGCCACAAAATTCAATCAAATTTGCAAATTGATGAATCCGACAATAGTGGATGAATCCAGATCGCCAAATCTCGAGAATAAATCCGATTTGCGGGATTGAAAATCTCAGGAATCATTCAAGAAATGACTAAGGCTCTATTTGATAGGCATGCTTGAATTTGGAGGGATTGAGGTTATGATTGTAATTAAGATCAGGCTTTAAAATTATATTTGACATAGAATAATAATTGTAGTGAATACTTTCCTTCATTTTATTTTATAATTAAACATAAATTATAAAAAGACTATAATACCCCTTATAATTAATTAAAAAAATTGCACTAAAATCCATCTTCTCTCTGTCATGGATTCATGATCAAACCCAACCTCCCTCCCTCACCACCTATCACCTTGTTTGACGACTTGGAACTAGGAGAAAATGTAGCAATAGAGCTCGTCTGTGATGGATTTGAGAACAAGATGAAGATGATGAATCTAACTATGAGGAATCATTCTATTATTCAAGAGTCTAGAATCTCTCAAATTGAAGAAGACGATGATGGATCTAGGAGTAAACATAGCAATGAAGCTCAACTTGTAACCAGATCTGGAGTCTCTTAAATTAAAGGCAAGCAAATATGAAGGCAAGAAGCCTAGCAAATGTGATAAGATATAGTGGTGGAGGACAGCGGGAGGTAAACAAAGGGAGAAGACTCGAAGTAGTAGTGGAGGATGACAATAGGTAGAGGAATGGAGAAGGGAGGAAGATGAAGTGAGAATTGAACTTGAATATGTCAACGATAGGGAAGGCACCAATGCTAAAGACTGTCATGGTAGACTCAATTAAGTGAGAGAATAGTGAAGGATGAGGTTAGGGGTAAGGACGAGAGATAGGAGAGAGGGTGTGAGGGTAGGGGCAATCCAAATTGAAGAAAATCAATTCTAAGGTTGGTTTCCCAACACCAAAGGGTGGTGGTATTAGATAATTTGATGTAGATGGAATTGAGATTGAAATTAAATTTTCCAATGCTCTATACCAAATGCAAAAAGCTAGTACTAGCTAGTGCCAATCTCAATCTAATCCCTCCAATCCTTTATACCATATAGGGCTTAAGAGATTTGCATGTAAGGTTGGGTTCTCACCTTATTTTACTTTGCGAGGGGGTAATCATGTAGCTTACTCTTTGGCAACTGATGCTATAAAGGAAGTGGATCCTGTGATGTGGGTTCTTCAACCATCAATCTCTTTGTTCTCTGTTCTAACCCCTAATGTTATGATGGATTGGAATCTTGAGGTGAATACTTCAAACCCAGACTGCAGAGCAGGAATTAGTTAATTATTTTTGTTTTCTTGCTCTATGCTATTTTATTTTTAGCATTAGCTTTGTTTTTTTTTTTTTTGTTTTCTGGACTTTTGCTTTTAATGAGAAGTATCTTTGCCCAAAAAATAAAGATTGTCAAATTTCAGAGGAAATATTTAGTATTTTAAAATAAATCTATAATTTGAAAAAATTTGTAGATGATAAATTATGTATGTTTAAAATTGTATTTTTAAGGGTCAAATAATAATTTAACCCTTAAGCTACAAACTCACGAGCATTTAGAATTTTAAATTTATTTTTTTTATGCATTTTCATTTATAAGCGTTTAAAAATCTTGACAATCTCTCCTACCATCGAGATTTAAAAAAAAAAAAAAAGATTTCATTAAGAGTGTGGAGGCAAATATTCTGACACGCGGCCTATAGTTTTGGCCATGGTGCGATGCTGCGGGTGCGAACATGTGAGCAACATGGCCAATTTTGATTTGGAAAGTCTAAATTAGATAAGCATGAAAACTCATCTATTGTGTTAATTTGATTCTATAGAATTAGAATTATTTGCATCACCTAAACTATAAGAAGGGAATTCAAAGACCACGGATAAAAGGCTGATCCTTCAAGAGGTACACAAACAAACCAGAATTAGTTAACAAGACTCTGATTACAAATTAATTACTTCCCTGCTTTCTCCACCACCAAAAAGAGGGACTAGAAATAATTAATTTTGGGGGGGGGGGGGGGAATTACAGCGTTTGTTAAAGATTCTCATCTGAAATTAGTGGCCACGTTATGCTAGGTCCCCCTTCCCTTTTCCTCCGCCATTTCCATATAATATATGTGTGTGTGTGGAAGACTGTGTATGTATATAGAGTTAAATTTAAAGGTTGTTTTTCTCGCGGATCAAAGATTTAACATAAAGGAGGCCAACATTAAAAAATATATATTACAAACTTTTTATTTCTTTGATTTTAGTTATAGAACAAAGGGAAAAAAAAATTTAGACATACTTATGGGAACTTATCAATATCAATTTTTAATGTTCCTCTTTATATTTTTACTTTTATTAAATATTTTGAACAAAAAAATACCAATAATTAGATTTAAGAACATTTATTAAGAGTCAAAGTATAAACCTATTAAATTTTAAGAAAAAAAATTAATAAAGTTTAAAGTTTTTCTTAATTCCAGCGAAACATACTGAAAGTAACTTATAAATAAATTAAAGAAAGTGTAAATTTTGGAGAAGCTTGAATTAAAATATAAGTTATTATTAATTAATTTATGCTTTTCAAAAAAAGTTTGTCGATATATTAATTTTCTGATAATGTTCACATCTTTCCTTTTATTCCTTTGAGTGGAATATTTAAACTATTCTTATTAATTAAATTAATTTCATTAAAGCAGGGTATAAATATCAATAAAACATAAAATTTATTAATGCCTTATATTTTGAATTAATGAGTGCTTCTAAAAAATAATTTACATTGTAATTCAGAGGAAATAATATCTACTTCCTCAAGTTCCTAATATAAGACTTTTTCAACCATTTTATTGCAACTAAAGAATGACAATTAACTCATTCAATACATTTTAAAATGAAAATTTTTTTAATTTTACCCCTCCTAAAAATAAGAAAAAAGAGATACACAATATACTATTTGCCATAAAATTATATTTACAATACAAGTAAAATTGAAAAATGGTGATAAATAACCTCCCATGTATCTTATATTAAGAATTAAAAAAAAATTCAAAAGATATCCTATAATAAATACAAGAGAAAATATATAATAATACTAATAATAGTTTAAAAACGTGGGATACGGTGGCCTGTATGGTCCATAAAAATTTAAAGGTTGTTTTAAAATATTATTACTTTTTTTTTATACGTACGGATTACCATGCGTGGTCCCCCCACCCAATAGCAAACTTTTGTTTTTTTTTTGGCCAACCTGTCCACAGCAAACTACACACAACTATGGACCGCTAGCACCATGGATCGTAGCATTGCCTATAAATAGAACACTAAATTGGTTTCTGCAATTCGACATATCAGTGTGAAGACACTTAGCTTCATTAAGGAGAAACCATTGGCTACCATATATCCCATTTTTCTAAACATCAACAAGCAAACATGAATCAAAACCCTGTATTCATATCTCCCGCCATTCTAAGTTCAACCAGGACTGCTAGTGATGAGCAAGAAAGCGAAAGGAAAATCGAAAAGGATAATAATCAAGAGAAGACTGCAGAGGTGGTACTGAACGAAGAAGAAGAAGATCGTCTACGGCTAACATGGCGTGTGTTTGCTAAAGAAGTGAAAGAGGTCTGTTGTGTTGCAGGTCCTATGGTGGCTGTGAATTATTCAACCTTCTTTCTGCAAACTGTCGCTTTGATGATGGTGGGTCACTTGGGGAAACTTGCTCAATCCAGCACTGGCCTTGCCATCTCTCTCTGTGCTGTCACTGGTTTCAGCGTCATCGTAAGTCATCACTTGTTATTGTTTATACAAGTTCACAAATTTTGCTTAAAAGTTCACAAATCTTGCTTAAGAATATACATATATAACAACATCATCTTGTTTTTTCTACAGTTTGGTTTGGCTTCTGCACTTGAAACACTATGCGGTCAAGCCTATGGAGCTAAGCAATATAAGAAGTTTGGTGTTCAAATTCAAACCGGCATCTTCTGCCTTTTGTTATGTTGTATTCCTCTGTCCATGTTGTGGCTTAACTTGGGCAAGCTTTTGGTTTTGCTTGGTCAAGACCCTTTGATTGCACATGAAGCAGGAAAATTTGCGGTTTGCTTGATTCCTGCTCTCTTTGGTTATGCAACACTTCAAGCCTTGGTTCGGTTCTACCTTATGCAGAGCATGATCGCTCCTCTTGTGCTCTGTTCTACAATTACCATCAGCTTCCACGTAGCCTTTTGTTGGACACTAGTTTTTAAATCCGGTATGGGCCGTTTTGGAGGAGCGTTTGCCATTGGTGTTTCATATTGGTTGAATGTGGTCTTGCTGGCCTTTTATATGAAATTCTCTGAATCTTGTGCAAAGACTAGAGCTTCAATTTCCATGGAGCTTTTCCATGGCATTAGAGATTTCTTTCGCTTCGCTATTCCTTCAACTATAATGGCTTGGTATTCTTCATCCTAACTTGATATGAGATTTTCATTACATTTTATATTGGGTAAAAGAGTAAATTAGTCCTAAACTATAAGTTTAAGAGGGTCTTGTAGCTTAAATTCATTTTTAATGTAATGTTTTCTTTCAACATTTAAAAATAGTGCAGTTTGATTTCCTACTATTAATCAAAGTTAACTTTAATAATTAATTAATAAGAAAATAATAGAAAAAGGATCTCAAAAATTACCCCAAAATAAAAAGAATCAATAAAATTTTCTTGATCCTTTTCTTTAACTTTTTGAGTCTTTATTTGTAATTTTTAAAGTTTTTCTATCATTTTCTAGTCAAGTAACAGTTAAAATTAATTTTTATTAATGATAAAAGTTAGATTGTACTATTTTCAAAAATTGAAAATATTAAATAAAAAATGAGTTTAGGATCACAAAAGTTTTTGAACTTATAGTTTAAAAGCTAACTTTATCTTTAAACTTTTTTATATTATATGCCTTGAATATTGACATCCTGATATTGATATTGGTAATTGAATATTAATTTTCAGCCTCCAATGGTGGTCTTATGAGGTGACTACGTTGCTTGCCGGTCTTTTACGACCAAATCCTCAGCTTGAAACTTCAATCTTGGCAGTATGGTATGCTTCTTTCTAAAGTTTCACTTCCCAAAAATCTAAATGTACAGCTAACTAATTCTCCATATAAATTTGAATTTTTTGGCCAGTGTCTCAATGAACATTACAATCTATTCAATACCAGAATCAATTGGCTCTGCAGCAAGGTTCGCATTACATAATATCTTTCAATGCCTTCATATGTTCACATTTACAACAATCTATACTAATGTAAAAATAAACTGAATTGTTCATTTTACGTTATTAAATTCTTTCTCATTGGTGACTCTTGTGGTTGGCATTATTATATTTAGCACAAGAGTTTCAAATGCATTAGGAGCTGGAAATGCGAAAGCAGCATACATGTCTGCCTTATGTGCAAGGATCATAGGAGCTTGTGAGGCTCTTATAATGAGCTCAACGGTTTTCGCGAGCCGGAATGTTTTAGGTCATGTTTTTAGCAATGAACCTGAGGTTATGCACTACGTTACAGACATAGCTCCTATATTAGTTTTGTCTGTTTTTGCAGATTCCTTACAAGGCGCCCTTACAGGTAAAATTTTCATTCCTATCATATTTTTTTTAAAAAAATCTTATTATATATATATATATAATACCTTTTTTTTTAAACAAAACAGGGATTGCTAGGGGAAGTGGGTGGCAACGCATAGGATCATATGTAAATTTTGGAGCTTACTATGGCGTTGGAATTCCACTTGCTGCAATATTGGGTTTCGTGGTACACTTGAGAGGAAAAGGCCTTTGGCTTGGAATAACTTCTGGCACAATATGCCAAGTGATTGTATTAATGGTTATAATAAGTTGTACGGATTGGAAAAAAGAGGTTTGTTCTCTACACTTACAAGAATAGTTATCATTTCAATTCATCTTGAAATTGTATTCCTAATCTTTTAATAATATATACTCATGATAAATTAATTAAAATTATGTAACATTAACGTTTGAGCTTTTTTGAATTTGCAGGCAAAACAAGCTAGGGAGAGGACATTGAAGGGATGTTCGCCACAAGATGAAAACGCACTGATTTGAGCAACCAGAGTGCATTACTTTATGTCCCTTTGTCAATCAGCATCTTCTTCTTTAAATTGGAAAATATCTGGATGTTGTAATAAAGATGGGGAATCAAGCATAGAAGCAACTAAAATGTATTAGACATGCATGTAAAGTTGCGCTTGTGTTCTGTGATGAAATAAACCATTAGTTTTGTTCATGCTTTTTATAAATTATCAATAAAGCAACTTCTTAAAGATTCCATTTTATGTATTGATCGATAATGATATAGACTTTAGGATTAAAAGCCTCATTTATTTCTAAACTTTTCTTTTTTATGAGCACTCAGCACTGTTTAGTAGGTGAGACAATATTCTCCCTAAATAATTTTTTTAGGAACAATATTGTCCCTCCATTAAATATATGTTAGTTTAACCGTTAGTTGACCAAATGAATTATAAAGAAGGATCTAAAAAAAATATAAAAGGACCTAGAAAATTATGGAAAATAATCTTTAAATTAATATAAGTAAGTACTTTAAATTATAAATAATAATAATATAATAAGATATTTTTAAAATAAATATATTAGTTTTTAATTAATTATCAGTTTTGTTGCTGGTATTATTGATTCAATAATCATCTCATAATCAGTCAAAATGACATTTTGATCTGTTTGTTATTATGTGCAAGCATCAATGTCTCCCTTCAACATTTAAAAGTATTACAATTTTGCCTTTATCATTAGAAAGGTTAAGTTTAATTATTAATAGACTTCAAAAATTACAAAAAAAAAGCTCAAAAATTATATTAAATGACTTTATAAGAAAATTATTATCAATTAAATCCCTTAGGTTATAACTTACAAATAACCTTTAATCGATTAATGTTATTTCTTACTCATATCAAAGACTAAAATACCATTTTGACCATCTACTTTGACCAACTACCAAGTGATTATTGAATTATCATTGCTAGTAATAACATTGATAAAAATTATTAAATATTAAATCGTTAATGTTTTAATAAGATCATATTAAATCAAATATATTATTTTTTTAATTAATTATTAGTATTGCTGCTGACAATGATGCTCCAATAATCATCTAGTAGCATGTCAAAATGGATGGTAAAAATGATATTTTGGTTTTTTGCATGGTGAAAAATAGTACTTGTCTCTTGCTATTTTTTTGTAGAGTTAAATTGTATATTTGCTCTAGAACTTTTTCTTTAAAAGTACCTAACATCATAAACTTTTTTTTTAAAGTATTTTTACCTCAAACTTTTTAAAAAGAGGGCATCTTTACCCTACGGTTAAATATCATAAATGTTTGCTATTAAAATAAAGTTTGACTAGGGTTAAAGTGCGTATTTGCTCTACAACTTTTTCTCCAGAAGTGTTGTATATCTTGAACTTTTGTTTGGAGTTTATTTAACCTAAAAGTATTGACCATTACTTTGACTTTAATAGCCACATCTAACCAAATGGCATTTTTTTAAAAAATTAAAAAAATCCACCCAGATAGCAAGAACAACTCCACAGCAAGCAATTCTAAGTCATTTGAACCCATACCTATACCCAAAAACAATCACCTATTTATTAAGTCAATCCATATGAACTTGACCACATAGAAGCTATCTTCTTCTATATTCAAAAATTTCACTATCTCACCAAACTATGATGACTTTGCAGGCTTCGACGCTTTTAAGGACTTTATAGCATCAAACTTGAACATGGCAGTAGTGACAAAAGTAGCAACTTGGATGTTATGTAGGAAGAATGTGGCAAGTCAAGGGAGGATGACGACAATCTATAGAAGTTAAGAATGAAGGATTTGCCTTTGATGGACAGAGCAGCACGTCGTGGGCTTGAATGGACATTTTTGGGGGGTGAAAGTGTCAAGCCAAATGTGAGACTTCTTGCAAGGCTTTCGAATCTCAAACATCCATTTTCCCAACTTTATATTTGGACTCCAATCCATGTTAGTGCAGGAGCTTACTGGTGGAAGGGAAGGAGGAGGAAGAAGAAGAGGACAATGAAGAAGAAGGGATGGCAAAATTGCTCCATTTTTAAAAGTTCCAAGGCAAATAAATTTCAAATAAAAGTTCAGGATACCCAGCTCGCTTGGAGAACAATTTTAAGGGAAAATATACTATTTAACCTTGGTCCAACTTCAGTTTAGTGGTCAACATTTTTTATATTTAACAATGGGACAAAAATACTTTCTTTTTGAAAAGTTTGGGGCAAAAATGTTCCAAAAAAAAGTTTAGGATGCTAAATATCTTTGGAGAAAAATATTCACGACAAATAAGTCTTTTAATCCTTATTTGTAATTTAAATAACTTAATTGATATTAATTTTTTAATAAAGTACTTATTTGTAATTTTTCGGGTCATGTATTTAAGTCAATGTTGACTTTGTTAGCGACAAAAGCAACATTACACCGTTTTTAATTGTTAACGGCAAACATTGTACTATAAAAAAATTTTAGGATACTAGACACTCTTACATAAATAGTTGAAGGGAAAAGTGTCCTTTAACCCAAACCTTTATTTTTATTTTTATTGTTTCTATATCCCAAGAAAACACAAGGAATATACCTAGGTTGAAATTTATCTATAAAACTTACATTTGCAGCAAAAGCAAGTGAACCAACACATTTCAATTTCTCTAAACTTAGCATTGTATAGTAAACTATATATTTCAAAGAGGGTTTGATGTAGGACAGGGGAGGGAGAAAAGGGAAGAAAATTGAGAAAAGATAGAAAAAGAGTAGAGACAAGAGAGAAACTCAAAGGAAAGTATACCAATATCAATTATCATTATTTCAAAAAGATGTATAAAGTAAGTATATTAAGACGCTATTTATAAGTTTTAACCTAACCCTACAAATAAAAGTATTAAAAGCATAATATTCTATAAATTCTAATAGTTAAATGAAATATTTTAAAATAATTTATAAGACAACCTAGTAATCTAAAAGATTACATTTATTTAAATCAAATCATAAAATCATTCTAATAAAATAAAAAACTTGAATATAATTAATTATGTATCCCATCAACTGAGCTTGAATAGAAATACAAACCAAAAGAGTTTAAACATTATTAGTAGAATTAGTCACTATAATCTAGGTGCACTCAAGTGGGGCTTCAAATTATGTTGTAACGTCATAAGTCGATGGTTGACCATGCCTTTCCAATTGATCTGCACATTCCATGCTTTCTCTACAACTATAGCTAACTTCTAAATACCAATCTTGATAAATGAGTTTTATAGTTGAATCAATAATATCACCGTAAGCATGATTCCTTCCAATATCTTGAAATAGGGTGTTGATGGCCTCTAGGGAGTCAATAAAAGTTGAATCTTATTATATCCATGCTGCTCACAAGTCCCCATACCCAAGTTGGTTGCCATGATTTCCTTCATAGAGATAGTAGTAGAATTCAACTTACATTTAAAACCCAAAATCTAATGACCTTCATGATCCTAGATCACTCCACCACACGTTGCTTGATTAAGATATCTAAATAAAGCATCGACATCTACACGAACAAAATCATATCTAGGTCTGGTCCAAAGGTGATTGTTCTAGGTTTCATTGATCATCAAATGCGCTTGTAATGTCTGTTGCTAGTGCCTTCTATTAAATTTAAAAAGGCCAAATGAAGAATTTTCTTTGTTGTATTGCCTTTGCCTTAAAAAATTCTGCTACATTTGTTTTTCCAAAGTAACCAACATACATTGGAAAAAAATTTTGATCCATGGCAATTTTCTGAATGGTGTTTTCGCTCTATGTCTCCTTGTTCCTTCTCAAATCCAACAACCTACAAATTGTCAAGAGCAAGAAAAGACACATATTAATTAGTTAGGAGAGATAATAAGTTTCCACACTTCTTTGGCCACATAACAATCTCTCAAAATGTGAAGGATATTTTCCTCTCCATTACATTTGAAAGGACATTCTCCACTATTTGAAAGTCCTCTCTGGGCTCTTTGGGAATTAGTGAGAAGTCACCTATGGATCACTTGCCAAAAGGAGAGTTTCACTTTCTCTTGAATGAGCCATCACCAAAGTTGTTTCCACAAGAAGCCATTAGACTGTTGGCTAGAGACATGAAGGGATTTACAGGCTGATTTAATATTAAATCTACCATCATCGGCATATCTCCAACAGAACACATCATCCTCATCAGTTCAAGGAGCCATAAAAGCACATATTTTCCTAACCACCCATATGGGGAAGAAAGGTATTAGGCCTTATGGTTCCATTGAACATAATTCTATCTCATAAGAGGATACCTGTTTATTAAAAAAAAACCATCTACTTGTAATTAATTTTTTATTTCAATGATCATACAATGACAAAATCCATTATGGCAATCCATTTTTTCAATTCCAATCTATATGATCAATCATAAATGACTTTCAATGGTCAATTAATACACTGTGCTATTACCTTGCTAATAAGCAAGTTAAATTTAGAAATCTTGCATGTTTTTAATAGTATATCAATTTAATCAAATATTATTACTAAAAACCCGAATAAAAATAATTTTCATATTCATCAAAGCTTCTCATGGAAAGAGATATTTCAATCATTAATGGCCTTAAGAGCTACTTCTTGTTCCTATTATAAGATGTCATCTAGAAAAAATTATTAATCCTTAATATAAGTCATATAAAAAATTATTAATCAACATGTTTCAATTTCATCCCTAGAAAATTACTAGAGGATAATTTAATTCTAATTTAAGATTTCTATACGGCCCCTCAAATGTTATTTTTTTTATCTTTCTCTTTAATAGGGACAAAGTTGATTTTTTTAATTTTAAAATATACTTAATGAGTTATTTTTTTTTTTGGTTTTGATAAGTAGCTGAAAATGACTTATATTATAAACTAGAGGGAGTATATTATTTGTAGCTATCAAATAGTCCAGATCTTTTCGTTACAAATAAACATTTGAAAATAGCTTGCTTTTTCTGAAAGTAGTAAAAAGATTTAAAAAACATCCAAAAATTTTCTTAAAAGTGTTTATGTATAAAATATTTTAAAACAAAATGCATAATTAAAAATAATTCTGCTTTTTCAGGGAGCCTTGACAGTACGTAGTTTTCCCCCCTTCTTTGACCAAACCTATTTTGTTTTATTATAATATAATAACGGTAATGATTGATGATTAGGAGGATAGCACGATTGAGGGGCCACTGAGTCTCATCAAAAGCTTTGCCCGCGTGGTCATTGGTACTACAACTT